TATGATTTTTTTGCCATTTTTCAATTGGTCTTAAACTTTTGATCGAGACTGTATATGTCTTACATTTAAAACATCAGGAATATCAAGTTCACAATATAAAGAATTTTAAAAGATCAGTTGCCTTGGACTAAATTTTTCACTGAATGAATCACCATTTTAATAATGAGTGGTCAATACATGTATGTATTGTACTTCTATAACAGGGTCTAAGCGCTGGCCTTCATTAAATAAGAAGATTGCAATTACTCTGCAAGTATACTCTGGCCAAGGAGTGAGCCTAACTTAGCAAGAAGACTGGAGGCAGAAGGAAAAGGTTAGCTGTTCTCTCCAAAAAACTACAAACTCCCTCAGTAACTGCAATAAATCTAAAAAAATAAAGGACAGTAATATGAGTATAGCAGTAATATAGAGCAATATAATGAAAGATAATTGTGATTCATTCACTGTGACACATGAAAAAGAGTCCCATTATCTACTTCTTCTATCCTGAATAATATATTCTCATTTTCCCCCAGAGATTCAAATGAAGCTCCTTTACCGCTCATGAACGAAAGACTACGACCAGTATTGTTGTTGCCTGATTGTAGATGTCCAGAAGCATGCAGACGGGTCAAGAGTCTGAGGTGCTGAACCAACGTGAAGGAGGGTATATAGTGTGCAAGAACAAAGGGACAATGGTTTGCACACTCACTGAGGACCATAACACTGGGACCTGTACCTGCTTGCGTCCAGCCCCTCCCAGTAGGGCTCAATGCTGGGAATGAGGCTAAGTGGACTCCTGCAGAGGTGGGGAGATCAGACAGTAAGAAGTGAGGAGCATATGGAAGTAAACAGGAAGCCTGGCAATGAGAGAGAGGGCAACCAAAAAGGAACAGAAAAAAATGAAAGAAAAAGCTTGTTCCTGTTCAGCAGCTTAGGGATGAGAAGCATTAATGAGTTGGAGAATAACTCAACGTAAAATTTCACAGAAAAAGCGTAAAGATAAGAAAAACTATGCGAGAGAAAAAAGAGGGTTTCCTGCCATAGTTTCATTTCCTCACATTTCCCACTTCAGACACAAGAGGCTGAAAAAGCACAAAAGGACAAAGCAAAAAAAACCAAAAAACATTTCATTAAATGAGACCTTTCCACACTGCACCATCTTATTGCCTTGAAATGGTGAAATATTAGGCTATACATGTTATTGTATAGTAATTTGCAAGCATCCACATGTGTATAGCAAGCATGCATTCGACCATGGTCCTCTACAATACTTTTGGGATATTTTAATACAGTTGTATTACACTCAGGATGTTCACTTCAAATCTGGTGCAGATTTCTCCCATTTACAAGAGCAGGGAAAAATCAGACTTTATTAACTAGCATGACAGCTGTGTCAGCGGTTACTTAAGTAATCTGAAAAATTCCTTGACAAACATTCCAGCCAGTGAATCAAACATACTCCCAAAACATCATAGAAATGCCTTTCACTTTTTAATGAAAGAAAATGTATGCCAAACAAAAAACGTATAGTATTTAGATTTTAGAAACTCCCCTACAGACCTCCTCATGGTGTTAAAGGGAAAATCTATGATCCTAGTATATAAATGTATTTGGGGAAATAAGCTTAGAAAAACTGCAAATAAAGTCTGGCTTTTTTACCTGATGTTCAACTTGATCAATGTATTACTCCTAACCTCTCCCTCCCAAAGAGAAAGGAAGTCTCTGTTTTATGTAAGCAGATTTTTAAATTCTGTACATGGGAGGTTTACTGATGTTTTCCTACAGTTTCTTTGTTGCACTCTAAAAAGTAATTCATCAGACCCGTTACCACCACTTAAATGCATGGCTGCAAGAGAAAAATTCTCTAATTTATTGATTAAGATAAATCTTCTAAATTGAAAACTTTATTTTGTTGGGGTGTGTTGACTTAATAATTTTGGTAATTATATCAACTTAACTTTGTATGTAATTTGAAATTAAAAGGGTTTAAAACAAAATTCAATTTGTAGTTTCTTAATGAAATTGGATAGATAACTTCATTTTTCTTCACTGTAACCTCTGATTTCAAGGTCCATCTCCTACCCAGTTAACATGCCCTACCAAATTCACATATTAAGACTGTGTTGCACGGAGGACTTGTATGCTGATGTTAAAGAGATTTTAATGTAAGTAACATTTTATTTACAAATAACAGTTCTACTAAAGCAATGCATTTGTGCTAGTAAGTGTTATGACTCGTAGTGGATTTGTTTCTGATGTTATGCTCATACAGCTGAGGAAATAGTTTATCATTATTATTATTATCATTATTATTATTATTATTATTATTATTATTATTATTAACGGTGAATACTTCTGTGAGAAGGATAGCTGTAGAGTTTCTGTTTGCCTCATTTATTTTATTTTTTGTATGCTATACATGATGTTACATTTTAAATTGTTTTAGTTACTATTGCAATACAGCAATACAGTAAGTACTGTTCTTGGTCTTAAGAGCTGCATCTATCCTTATTACTTTTTTTAAACACATCAAGTTTTATGAAATATTGTTAATATGATTCTGGTTGTATCACCCTGGCACAGACTATGTGAATCTCTTTGTCATTAAGTCTTTACATAGGCATTTTGTGTATACATAAACATCATTTAATATTTTTTAAAAATATATATGAAATTGATTTTTGTGGATTATCAGTTTTAAGCAAACTTAAATTTAATGCTTTATAAATAACAGGTTCCTTTTAAAGAAAATATTTGTAAAGCCTGACAATTGTTTGTAATAATCCTCAAATTGTCTTATAGCATTTTTCTGTATGTGTGGTGTACAGATTAAAAAAAAGAGTTCAAGAGAGTAACCACTGTAAGTCTTGAATCTAATCTTTTGGCTAAACTTGACCATTGTACCCCAAAACTAATGGATGGGGTTTGATGAAGGGGAGGAGCTAAAGGACTGAGAATCTTGCTTCTTGAGGTATGATAATTATTTAGGCTTTGGCTAACTTCAGAATGCAGTTTGTTTGCAGCCACCTATATAATGTATTACTCATTTTGATACTTTATCTACTTTTTCTTAAATTGCACAATACTCTCAAAGTACGCAGAGAGGTACCCATCGACTCAACCCGGGAGAGAAGGAAGAGGACCTTTTCATGCAGTTTGGTGTAAATAATTCAGCATCTTGAATAAAAATGAAATGGATTTACAAATGTCACACCCATATCAGTGGCCCAACATAAAGGGAATGCACATATTGCCTATTTTTTACAGCATAAACTAGAACATTATAATTAGACCAACACAGTGAACCGCTCGTAAAGCAAGTAAAATATGTTGTTAGAAATCTTTTTAGGTCAAGCAGCCAAATTGGTCATAGAATATGTTGTCTATGTCGTGTGATTATGTTTTGTGTTATGATACCATAATTTTGTCTCATTCTTATTAATGTATCCTAATTTTCATTCATGTCTGTATAAAAATAAATAAACAATAAGTCCACTGATGATCTAGATTCAGTAAGATTCAGTTAGGGTGAAAGTACAATCTGATTTCTGATTTATTTTCAGTGTTTAAATATAAAGCGTTGAAAGTTACAAATAAAATCCTTAAATGTTGAATTCATTTATTTCTTGAAAGCAGTTAAAATTACAAAAACAAGAAAAAGCTAAAATAATAATGATGAAGAAGAAAATCAACAACCTAATGACACCATACAATACTTTCAAATAATGTGAAAAAAGTTGTTGGTGTAACATCATTTTATGAGTACACAGCTTAAAAAATAGATTTTAAGCTACCAATTATTAAGTAAGGGGTAGTTAAAATTACTTCTGATTATAGAGGAAAAGTTCATTCTCTTAACGTAATATAGTTTGTGGGTTCAACATAATTTCAACATAAGTTTTCATAACTCAGAAATATTCATGGAAGCTGTTGCGTCATTTTTTGTTGAGCTTAAACATTTGTTTTTAGAGTGTAATCAGATTTCATACTCTTTAATATTCTCACATGAAACTATAAAAGCTAACAGTGATTGTCTGTAAATATCCTCCCCCACCCTGTCTGAGGCCTTGGACTAAACTGAATTTTTAAAGTGTAGCACAGACAACATGGATGGGCTGTGTCACAGAGCTGTTTGTCAGGTATTCGATCAACAATGCTCCAAAAGCCACCAACGGCACAAATAGTCCAGACGTCCAGCTCAGAGACTCCATGTGGCTAGGGTGAAGCTTAGCAAACAGTTAGCAACTACAGCGTGTCTGGATCCACTTATCATGCTCCTAAATTAATAAAGTTCAAATACAAAAAAATAAAAATCATGCCCTTTACAGGTGTTATGAAGGGGCAAACTGTCTTTTTTAGAGTGAGCATTAGGTGTAGTTGAGTTCCTGCCTCCACTAATATGACTCTACAGTAAGTATTGGAAAGCTGGAAAGATTCTCACAATGCAATATGAGAACCAACAGAAGATGTCAATACAGTGAAGTTTATGTAGAAAAAACAGCTTTCTGAGGGAGTAATGAACACACACACACACACACACACACACACACACACACACACACACACACACACACACACACACACACACACACACACACACACACACACA